CTGTTAATGCAGCCCAGCACTGTGTTGGCTTTTTTGGCAGCTGCAGCACATGCTGGCTCATATTTAAGTGATTGTCCACTAGGACTCCGAGATCCCTCTCACAGTTACTACTATTGAACAAGGTACCCCCAATACTATACCTGTACATTTGGTTTTTCTTGCCTAAATGTAGAACCTTACTTTTTTCACCATTGAATTTTATTTTGTTAGATAGCGCCCAATGTTCAAGTCTGTCCAGGTCCTCCGGTATCTTAAACCATTTAAAATGTTGGCTTTCCATCTGTGTATAGTTTTTTCTAAAGTGTCTCAATGATTTGATGTCTTTTAACCAACTCCAAACTCAAAGGCAGCATGTCTTAAACCAGTTGCAATGATCTAGGAAGCAAAAACTAAAGAACACTATTGACGTTTGCTTCCCTTCGAAGTCCACTCTTGCCTTCAGCCACCTTGTAATGGATGTGCTTGTGAGGGCAGCTTTCAGAACCCAACCAGATAAACTGGATAGGTCTCATAAATCAGATTTGTTAAAAGAGAAGAATAGCAGTGGTTTCTTTTTCAACAATGCAAAAATAATAATGTAAGCAGCATTAGGCAATGCATTTTCTTCTCCCTCCTTCATCTGCCTACAAAGACTCCTGAAGAATAGGAATAGCATTTATTTAGACTTATATACTGCCCCATAATGCTTTACAGCACGCTCCCTTGGCCAAGAAATGGAGATGAGACATACATGACTGACAGGGAAACCATTTACCTTTTTTTGTTAATTATGCTTAGATAGCAATCTCTTGTGGCTAGCCAAATAATTACCTTCTTGAATCTTCTATAATCCTCAATTGGGTAAGACCAAATCTTAAAAGCACAATTCTCTCTTTTCTGGGATCTTTCCATTACACCAGAAGTGGTGTAATGTCTTTGGTCCACCATGAACTTGAAAACCTTTAACATTCAAACTAACTAAATCCAGTTTAATTTGCCAGCCATATTCCCCTCCCTCCCAGTTCCAAAACTTCAACTCTAATTCCCTTTCTGCTTCCCTCACCAGCTTGTTTTCAATATCCTTTAAAGTCTTAGCATCAGATCTCTGTATATGTCCAAAAAACACCGTATCTGCTCTGCCCCAATGCTTTTACAGAGGAATTTATCACTCTCCAAATACAGCACATGTATTGGGGAGATCATGTCACAGAATGACAATCAGTGTTTAGCTGCTCAATTCTTTCACATTTACACTGCACTGTGGATTCCACAGTAACTTTCCTCACATCAATCAGTATGATTTATATGAAACAATCACATAATTAGGTAGGGTCAGGCAAAAGCAACCACAAGGACTCCTGGAGAGTCTCAAACGAAGTTTTATTGCTAGTTGTCTATGTTACACGAAACTCACTATACTGTATGCTTTCCCTTGGGAACAGCAAGATAAGGCTTCAAGGATTCTGGGGGAGGTCAGACCTGTGCTGCTTCCTGTAGCGCAATAACTCCAAACTCAGTCCCCACTTAACACCTCCTTCCAGTCTAACTGGAGATTCCACCACAGAGTTTATGATGACAAAGATCACTTGGACTCAGATTTTTTTTAGAGATGAACTTTGATATCCCTAATTTATACTTCCACTTGAGACCTAAAACAAGATGGATTGACGACATCAGCAAGGGTTGTGGACCCAATTGGAAAAAGAAACCTCAGGACTGTATAGGTTGGAAACATGAGAAAGAGGTCTTCATTCTGCAGTGGATAGACAATGACTAAAATTATTATGATGATGAATTTATACTTGTGTATATTTTTCCTTGCATAAATGATATTAACTTCCTTTTATTTTAATATGATTAAAGAGGATGGAAAATATGCCTTCCAGAAGAATTATAAAAACACACCTCAGCCCTCAAAAGTTGCCCAAGTCTATTTTTGAAAAAAAGGCAAAAGTAAGTACCTTAATGTTCATACTTGGATTTTTTAAAAAGAATGTTTTTACTCTTCTGGCTCTGCTCTTCTTGATTTTACATTTACATGCCAATGTATTCTTTTTTGTTTTAAAGATGCTGGTTTTGCTTCGGAACCCAAAGGACACAGCTGTATCTTTCTTCCATTTTTCCAAAAGAGTAAAGATCAGTCCTGAGCAGGAAACCTGGGATGAGTTCTTTGACGAATTTATCACTGGAAAAGGTGTTCTTTTCTTCTTATTCATTGGAAGAAATATACATGCTTGAAATAAGTGGTCTTATTCTATTTATCTTTCGGTCTCCTGTACTCTCCATCTGTCTGTGAAGGAGAAGCAGGAAATCTTTGAACAAAGGGTTCCTTTCTCTGTTTGTCTTTGGGCACTGAAACTTATTTCCATTGCTTCAGTACAAAGCAACAATAATTCCATGTTTCATTTCATTCTCTAAAGTTCATCTCACAGACATGCTGTAAACCTAGATTAACTGCACATTAACCTAGTATTCGTATACCATTTGTATACCATTCCCATAAACCATTATGTTGTAATGGGATGACAAATCTCACTCAACATGCTGAGACAATGGCAGTGTTTCCTATAGTAGTGAACTACAAATTACCCAATCTCATTTTAGCCTAGTATAGTATGTTGTGTGAATTTGGCCAGTAAGTAACATTGACTTGATTTGTGTTTTCTGTATACATGTCTAATGCAGGCTACAAAGAGAAATATTCTTGCATCCCTTACCCTTTGCAAAAACATTCATTTCCATTCTGGAGTCATTTGTGAGCTCCTTTGAAAATTAATTCTTTGAAAAGTAAAAGTAATCCATTTACCATCCAGTCAGAACTGAATAGGTTTCTTGGCTGAGAAGCAAAATATCTTCCTCAAGAAAAAAAAATAACATAATCCAGTTGCTTTTTGAAAAAGCACCTTTGAGACAACCATGACCTGGAAGACTGAGAATCCCCATAGATATTAATTCTCTCTTGTACACATTTATGTGCTTAATTGCCATTTAATGTTATTGGCTGTTAAATCAGGATGCATTTTTTCAGCATTCTCTCATTTGACTCCATCAGTTCTACTAGTATTGTTAATGACACAATGAAAACTATTACATTGGTTTTAAACTTAACTTTTTAGTTTAGTGGGAGGAAAGTGACCAAATATATTTACTTTAATGAGTAACGAAAATGATAATTCCGGGACAGGTCTGACCAGAAGTATCTACAGGTGGTATCAAAAGAGGGCATGGGGACAAATGACCAAAGCTTCACAGTGGCATGATAGCACATTGCTGTTTTCCTCATTTTGATGAGAAGGTTGTTTCTTGCCAATGCCTCTGTGTGTGGCTGACTATGGTTGAAATGACATATGGTTTGACTGGTACTCCATAAACAAAAATTGGAATTATATACTATGAATGAATGGTAAAGCAAACACCAGTTTTGGTGAATAATTAATGCAATCTAATAAGCACACATGATTAACAAGCAGAGGCTTCAGTGGAGAGGGAGCTGCCCAAAATGTCAATATGATGGCCATAACTATACAATCAAACCCTGCACCTTTTAAAAAATGTGTGGTATGTGTAAAAAAAAGAAACTCCTGTTAGATGCTCCTGTTAGCTGAGCAACCCAACAATTAAATAATAATAATAATGGTTATCAATGATTAAAATTATGTATGGTAATCTGCATCTGTTAATAATCAGAGAAAAAGTGAAATAGAAAGGATACAGTGAGAGTTCACACTGAAATCAATATCAAAATGTTCTGCTTAATTCCTACAGTGGCCTATGGATCTTATTTTGATCATATTACTGAATGGAACAACTATCTGGAGGACAGCAATGTATTTTTTATTACCTATGAGGAAATGAAAGAGGTACGTTTTTAAGAGTAAACATTTAGATTTAATTTAATAATAAAAATATGTCTGGCCAAGTATTATATAGTAATGAACAATTGATCAGGATATAGAAATAGGAAATGTAACTCAAGATTTCTGCCTGGTTACTTTTCTCTAAGCAATTGGTAAATATCTCAGAAACATTTTCATTTTAAGGTCAACTTCTGGATCACCTGATCTACTCTTGCTAATATTTCAAGGAAACAATGAAAACTGTGTTTTGTTTTGCTTATTTATTTATTTATTTATTTATTTATTTATTTATTTATTTATTTATTTATTTATTTATTTATTTATTTATTTATTCTAATGTGAACAAGCCCAGCCTATAAATATATATAAAAAATGTATAGTACCCAGATCAAGACATGAATTGAAGCAATTGAAAGCATTACTCACTTGTGTTATATATTGATGTATTATTCAGAATCCAGTCTCAGCACTGAAAAAAATAGCCAAATTCTTTAATTTTTCTGTAACTGAAGAGGAGATTGAGAGTATTGTAAAGAAAACAAGTTTTGAAAACATGAAAAATAACGCAGGAACCTATGGAAAACTAGGGAAAGCACTTTTCCGCAAAGGTAACATTGTAATATTTTTA